GAGACTCCTGTTTTCTACAAATCTAAGCACCGTAATAAGTAATTTTTTAAAAAAAATGTTGATTAATGTAGAGGCTGCAATCCCTCACGAAGATTTCAAAAGTTCCCTAGCTCTTTACTCAAACAGAATCCACATGAATAAAAGAAAGTGGAAACATAGGCCACTGGCTCAGCCAACGTGGCATCCATATGTTGAAAACAAAGGCTCTCTTCAGCAGAAAACAGAGAGATGTGTTTGATAAAAAGTCTAGACCCAGCCAGTGAAAAGGAGATGAAGCTAGAGCTCCGACTTAACCTATTACATTACCTCTAGCACGTTACAATTGGGGGTAACAAAAGAAATAACTCCCTTCCCTTTGCAAAATATCATAAATATTTGATATTTATCAAAATATCATAAAATAGCCGCCTAGAGTGGTCTTTTAGACCAGATGGGCGGGGTATAAATCAAATAAATAAAATAAAATAAATAAAATAAATAAAGACCAGCAACCTCCTTTCCTTTCGGGGGTGGAGGTGTTGAGTAAAATGTACTCCTTACTGTTGGGCGGGGTATAAATCAAATAAAATCCTCCGTTTTCGGTGGGGTTGACTATCCTCCATTGACTATCCACCTTCAACCAGGCACAGGAAACAAGATGTGAATTGTATCACATCGGTTGCATTGCTTCACTGCATTCATGCCCTTTCAAAGGGTTTAAAAAAACACAACTCGCCTCATCTTGGTCTCCAGAAAACCACTTAACCAGCTTGGGGGGAAAAGCCATAATTACCAAAAACATGGTGTAATCAGATGACATTTTCCTTCAGTAGACAACCTGAGAGCAAAACCCCCAAAAAGCAACATTATAATGTGGTATATTTTAAGTGTGTCAAAACGCTCTTTTAAGAAGTTGTATCTTCCATACAACATTGGATGAGAGAGAGAGAATTACAAAAAAAATTTATATACCATTACTGTACTAATGTGCAGGCACATGTGCTGCTTTTCCACCCTCCTTCAGAAAAGGACCTCTCAGAGATACTCCATCATGTGGATGGTTGTCCCTTAAGGACAGACAAAGCCCAGTTCAGAAGTGGGGATCCTATGTCGTTCCAGAAATTTCTCCAGTGCAACTGCCATCGGCCCTAGCCAACAAAGCCTGCTGTGGGAACCAGTGGGAATTGCAGTCTGTCAACACTTTGAAGGGGTACAAGCTGGTCACCCTTGCCTTTTTCATTATTGATGGAATCTTCTTTCACAAGAGGTAGCAGCCCATCACTTAGACAGCATTAGAAACAAATTAGACCTTTTAATGAGGAGTCAAGTTATCAGTAGCTAGTAGCCAGGAATGCTAACAGAACATCCAGGTGTAAAGGCTATGCATCTTTGGGTAAGATCACACGTTAAGGCAAAAGTGTTATCTCCTTGTCATACTACATTGGTCCTCCTGGCAATGCACATCTGCCAGTGAGTGCCACATGCCTGAAATATCAGAAATACAAACAAAACCATGCAAGCTTCCAGCTAACCAATTACAAAAGTTGCCAAATGAAGATCTAGCCAAGCTTGTGTGAAAATAAACAGATAGTCTTTTCCTCATAAGGGTGCACTGCTTCTAGGTATGGAATCAACATCTCATCTACTGAGGCCTTCTGAGTAGAAAATGCTGTAGTCAGGCAACAGAAGGTTGTGATCTATTTCATTTCCCCTGGGAAATATCCAAACGCATTCAGATGGTCATTGCTGAAAACAGGATCCTATTAGATGGGCATATAGAGAAAGATAATTCTTTTATTCTTAATGAAATTAATGCAGAATCATTTAATTAATTAATTGTTATCAAATTTTTCTTGAACTTGTTGTCCTTTATGTTGTAAGCCGCCTAGAGTGGTCGAAGTGACTAGATAGGCGGGGTATAAATACAATAAATAAATAAATAAATAAATAAATAAATAAATAAATAAATAAATAAATAGTCGAAGTGACTAGATAGGCGGGGTATAAATACAATAAATAAAATAAATAAATAAATAAATAATTCTTAGTTTAGAATCCAATAAAGTTGAGTAAGGTTTAATCTATTCTCAATTGCTTTCACAGACAAGAGTTCTAAATCCTGTCCTCTGAAGATGCTGGCCACAGAGACTGGTGAAACGCTAGGAAGAAAAACCTTCAGAACATGGCCAAACAGCCCGAAAAACCTACAACCACTATTAAGTAAGGTTATTCAGCTTTACAATTAGGAAAACTGAAGTATTTACAACAGCTTAATGTTGCTTTGGAAACTGAATGCCAGCAGGATTGTGGGCCTGCCCACACTTTACATCTGGACCTTCCCCTTCAGAAGAACATTTCAAATCCAGATTTCCTAAATGTATTTTGAAATCATCGCCCCAGGAGGGGGGAAAGGAAGGTATCTTACAACATTAGTTTTTATCTGCATTTATTCTGAAAATACAGCACTGGGACCGAGGTTTGCAGAGCAACCTAAGGAAGTAAATGCTTCAATGAATTTGGGATATAAACTCAGATCCAATGTTTATTCATTTCTCCACTAATGAACCTGGTTTGATTCAGAGTGATTAGTCAATATTTCTTTATTATCTATTCAGGTATTCACTATTTGTGGCACTTGTTTTCTGTAGCAGCATCTTTTACAGTTTCTTTGCTGTTCTGTTTGATAGCACCAAGCTCAGATTTTTTCTGAAGAGGTAGCTTTGTTTAACTCTAAGTCAAATATAGAGAACAGAAACAGTTGAGATCTTTAAAAAAATCAACTTCCTTTAAATGTATAGCTTTGTTTAACTCTAAGTCAAATATAGAGAACAGAAACAGTTGAGATCTTTAAAAAGATCGACTTCCTTTAAATGTATTTTTTTAAAGAAAGAAAAAAGAAAATGCAAGGAAAGAAAAAGAAAAAGAGAAAGAAAGAAAGAAAGAAAGAAAGAAAGAAAGAAAGAAAGAAAGAAAGAAAGAAAGAAAGAAAATGCAAGGAAAGAAAAAGAAGAAGAGTACCAAAAGCTGATAAAGCTCAGTTTAAAGATCAAAGCACAGTTTTTCATTTGTTGCGGAGCAGGGGGCTGCCTCTCTGTTGTTTAGGGGGAGAAAGTTAGACACTGATTTCATCAACCAGAGATGGAGGCAAATGTGAGGTTATCATAGATGCTTCTGCTTCTTTTTAACTCCTTACATCTGATGTATCCCCCAGAAAGATGTGGTGATTAAGGACTAAACAAAAGCCACATTCAAGATGTGATACCAAGCAAAAATGTAACATAAAAATGAACAATTCACAATCTGTACAGGTTTTGTACTGAACATCTTCAAAATGCACAATCACTTAGAATCTGTATAAATATGCTGCTTGTTTATTTTAGAAAGTTTGCAGTCTGTAAGTAATAGGCAGTATACTCCTCAGTCCCATTTATGGTATCTCAGAAGTACTGTGATGAGTTCAATAAGTTTATTACAGTCATATGACCTGCTCAGATATATGTCAACCAATTTACACACAATACAAAGAACACAGAAAGTTTTAAAAAGAATTGAAAAGTTGTCAAGCATCTTCCAATATGTAAACCCTTCTTTATTTTACAGTGAGGGGGAAAAATAGCAACTAGAACAGTAAGAAAAGGATTCCTGTCAATTGGCCTTCTCAGTCACACTAGATGCTGTTCCAAGTTTTCCATACAGAGCACTCTACCATAGTCTCTCGTGACTGAAGGATACCTACTACTGACAAACAATACATAATCAGGACAGCCTTGACATTTTTGCAAGAGGGGATTAATTAAATCATTCTTTATTTGTTCATAACATTTACAATATAGAAAGGCATGAGGCAAAAATTCAGGAGTCCCAGCCATGCATGGCCAAGGACTATGATGAAACTATGTATCTGTTCCTTTTCAGTCCTTCAAAGCATTGCCGGCAGAAAATAGTAGACAGAGATACCAGTCAAAGAAATATTTTATGCAACCTCAACATTGGTTATATTATATGCAATCTGATAGCAAACAGAACAGCCAAGAACATAATTAACAACATGCACTCAGAGATCTCTTGACGCCAAGGGAATACATTCCCATTTTTATACAAAATAGTACCTTTAAGGAAACTGTCAAATAACACCAACATGAGATATTCATGCTGTTAATTTATTAATGTGTCTATGCCATTTAAAAACATCAGAAGATGCATATCTCGTCCAACGTTCTCTCCCATGGCAGCCAACCGGATGCCTTGGAGAAGGCCCCAAGGCAGACATCAGTGCCACAGGACCTTTCCTCTCATGTTGCCTGGCTGTTAGTATTAAGGGGCACAATGCCTCTAACACTGGATAAAACACACGTCTACATTTTGTAGTAGCGAATTTCATAATTCAGCTACATATGTGTTATGAGAAGAAGAAAAAACTCTTTGTCTAGCCTGAAACACCTATCATTTAACCTCACTGGGTGACACCAAGTTTTAGTACTGTATTTATGAGAGAAAAACAAGTCTGATCCATGTTCTCCACACTGAACCTACTCAACTTGCAGCCGGGTTGTGGGGGGAGCTAAACGCGCCCAAACAGACCCCTTTCTTCATAGCAGAGTTACCTCAAGCTCTTAATCATGTTGGTGGCCCCTTTCAGCACAGGATCAGAACTGCACAAAATAATTTAATTATGCCCACAGTATAGATTTGTGAAAAGGTTCATAATAGGAACAGTTTTATTCTAAAAATATATTCCTCCTTAAGAAACCACAATTAAAAACAACAAAAAGCTTCACATGCCCTCAGACTATTGCCTAAAAATATGGAAAGGTAATTAAAACCAGCCCAGTTATTAATCCTTAACTGAGGGACAGCAGTCTTAACTTTAATTCCATATTCTTTTATACAGAAGGTATGCCACGCTTGGTCAGAAGTCCTGCTGAATTAATGAAATTTACACCTAAGTAAGCATGCATGCAACCACATTTACTATTCAAAGGTTTTTCCATAAAGGGACACCAGGGAGAAAAATGATTTACCTGTGATACATGCGATCTGAATAATGAGTGTAGTAAGGAAGATCCAGAAGGTTGGACTGTGAAATGGTGGGGCAGACATCTTGACCTCACAGATACAGAGCAGAAGATTGTGAAAGGGTAAAAGTAAATCAGCCACTTGGGTCAAAAGATACCACTGTCTCATCGATTTAGTTCTCATCTTCAGTAGCAGACAAAATGCAAACGTGTCATACCACTCTCTTAAAAACAGGAAATAGAGCTCTTTGATGAGTTTTGTTTATTCATCCTTTCTTGTACACCTCCATTTCCTTGCTCATTTTCAAATTTAAATAGCTTACTTGTGTTACCTGCATCTTAGCCAGAACTTCATGAGATGGAAACGCCAGCCCACAAGATCCTAATGAGTAGGAGTGAGTCTGCAGCTCAACTAGTATATAATAACCAAGGAAGTAACTAATGCAGTTTAGATTTAGAGCCCAAAGGATCCAGACAGTCATTGGTCATAGATTTAAAGTATGTCAGGTCTTATCCTTCCTTTCAGCTATCATCTCAAAAAGCAGGACTGCTGCCACCATTGAAAGAGGGTGGGGGGCAATCAGATGAGCATTTGTCCCTCTGTTTAGTCCACTGCAAATACGAGTTGGTTCACCCTTTTTTTCTGGTGATCACATGATATAATCACTGGAATGGAAAAAAAGTCACTTCCCACACCTTTCTGTGCCCCTACATTTTTGCTGCAGGTAGGATTGCTCTGGTTTGGTCTGTTTCCAGCACATGTGATCACTGGGAATGGACCAGAATAGTCTTCCAGCTGTCAAGGCTCCTTCAGTTTTGAATTTCCAATATAGTGAAGCAGCTTAATAAGCAAGCCACTTCAGGATGCTACAGCCTACCGTTCACCTAGTTCTGAGGGGGGAAACCTCTCCATAATGTCTCTCACTGTGAGGATTCATAATGAGATAAAAGGTGAGCTGGAGCAGGACAAGCACCTGCTATGGTGCCACTTCATGCCAGCAAAGTGGTGGGAGCCAAATTTGACCAAGATTCTAGTCATGCCAGTCTGTAATCCTTTATTTCATTAGCTGGCTTGGATCCCAAGTTTTCATTTTTAAAATTATAAAATTCATTTTAAAATAAAGTAAGTCTTCATTGGTTGTAAGTTTTTCAGGCTGTTTGGCTGTATTCTGGAAGTTTTTCTTCCTAACATTTCACCAGTCTCTGTGGCCAGCATCTTCAGAGGACAGGAACTAGAATTCTGTCTACACCAGAACACAGACAAGAGTTCTAACCCCTGTCCTCTGAAGATGCCGGCCACAGAGACTGGCGAAATGTTAGGAAGAAAAACCTCCAGAACACGGCCAAACAGCCCAAAAAACCCACAACAACCATCAGATCCCAGCCATGTAAGCCTTTAAGTCTTCATTCCTTGTAGAAACTGGGGGAATGATCTGACATGCATATGTTCTGCAGTATGGTCTACGCTGGTAACAGGATGGTTTGCTCCTTTTCTCAGCAACCGCACAACAGGCACAGCACTGTAATCCATCCTGCCCCTGACTGATGATTACCTGCAACTTTTTGGTTCTCTGTCAGGGATTACTGGGCGGCTTTTGTGTGTGTGTGTGTGTGGACAGGATCACTCCATTTTAGTTCAGTTTCAGTATATGTGATCACTACGATCAAACTGAAGAGGAAAATACATACAAGACAGATCCGAACTCAAAAAGAGCAACAGAATGAAAACCATTATATAGAGAAAAACCAAATCAGATTCCTGTCCAAAAGAAGCACAACAGTTGTATTCGGATGCACACTGAATACTTTTTTTAACAAGGGAGAAAAATCACCACAGAAAATGCCACTTTCCTTATTAGATCCTGCAACATACCCAAGGAGGTGTCTCTGCTCACTACTACCGCACTAATGAAATACAGACTCTATTAATACTACTAATACTAATACTACTAATGAAATACGGTCATACCTTCCTGACTCCTGTCACATTTCCCCCCCAAAAATACTTTTTTTAACAAGGGAGAAAAATCACCACAGAAAATGCCACTTTCCTTATTAGATCCTGCAACATACCCAAGGAGGTGTCTCTGCTCACTACTACCGCACTAATGAAATACAGACTCTATTAATACTACTAATACTAATACTACTAATGAAATACGGTCATACCTTCCTGACTCCTGCCACATTCCCCCCCCAAACCTACCCACTTCTTTCTTTGTGCAGCTAGTTTAGGTGCTTGCCCTGGGTCAACGAACCTCAAACCAGTCCTAAGGATTTGGGTTTGTCCCTTCAACTCTGCCACCCTGTCGGTGCCACTTTGGTCTAGCTGGTGTGTGTGTGTATTTTGACTTGTTGCTTAGTGAAAAGGTCCACTTAGTGAAAACTCTGTGTTTTTTTCTTCATCTGAATAACCTGCAGACATAGGTGTTATACTCTGTAATACTTGATTGTTAGTAACAACCCTTTATTACAGCTACAGTAAATAAGGAGAGATTTATTTGGGAGAACCAGCAGGTATACATTAGGGATGCACAGGTAAATGGAAAAGTCAATTTATTGGGTATTTAAACTGGAAGGAAAAACAATTTTGACTTTATATTGATTTACTATATAGACACATGCACTTCAACATGGACCACTGTACTATATACAAACTCATGACCCACTGTCTCACTTCTTAAACAGATTCCCCTCTACTCTCTCCCACAAGAACAGAATAAATGACACTCCAAAAAAAATAGTCATTCCCATTCCAAACATACCAACCAATCCACATTCAGCCCCAAACTAAACATTCTATCTCCTATCCACCTGTAAATCAGGATGCCCTCTTGTGCTCAGTACCATTCAAACCTGCCAAAAAAATAACTGTGACAATTGTTTTATCCTTAAGTGACAGGCGGCTAATGGAGGAAAAAGGGCATCCACTTCTGGGATTTTCCCAAGTATCCAGTAGACCTTCTTGACTGCTGCTACTGGTGTTTTCAACTTTCAGGCTGCTTTTTTTGTGTAAAGCTTGGCATCCTTTTTCCTTCTGGCAGTGTCAGCACAATATTGTGCAGCAATATCAGGCCATTTCCTGGCATTTTGAATCATGGATACAGAGCACAAAATCGCACATTCAGAAACTGGAGGGTTTTTAAAAGAATGGCATATAGATAAATACAGCTAAGCCTAATGGGCAGAATTGCCACCCAGAGTAGACTATCTGTCTAGATGGGCGGGGTATATAAATAAATAAATAAATAAGAATCCCCACATATGCCCTTAAAGCCTTGCTAGATTACTTTAACATACTTACAAAGTTATACCAAAATGTGCAAGCACAAATTTATACATATAGATGGAATCAGAGAGAACAAAATTTAGAACAGTGACATGACTGAGATGCTCCACTCTCACCATAGCACTGGAAATCACAAGCAAATATGATAAGGCAGAACCCCAAATAAAAGAATGAATATGAACAAAACAAAAAATAAAATCAATCTTTTTGCAGATAACATAGTATTATATGCAACAAACATTGGTGGAATTGAAACATACCGGAGATATTTGGTAAATACACAGGATTCCATATTAATTGTACAAAATCAGGATTATTCTATATCAACATTACACTTCAAGAACAGAAATAACTCCAAATACAAAGCAAAGTACACATTTCATTTTCAAGCTTTAAATATTTAGGAATCCTCCTAACAAGAGACATAAAACAACTGACATATGGAAACTATAAACTGGTAGGAAAATTGTTAATCAAGATGTTAAAAGACTGGACAAAATCAAACATTTCATTATTAGGAAGAGTTATAACGATAAAGACAAGTATGGTACCTAAATTTACCTTTTTCAAGCCATACCTTTTAACCTAAATGTACCTTTTTTAAGCCATACCAAGGTCACTGGTAGGGAGGGGCTGGAGGCAAAGAAATGGACAAAATGGAAAAGGTGATTATACAATTCATTGCTGCTCACAAAGAAATACAGTTTCCTAAACCCTAACAAACAAAATCAAAATTCAGATGGAGGCAGCTGACAGTCCCAGACATCCAGCTGTTCTCCAAAACATGGCAAGTTAAACAAATGAATCAGCTAATTATCTGAGTAATGGCTTGCCCCTAATGGGCGGGGTAGAAAATTAATAAATTGATTATGAACCAAAAGGACAAAAAGGAATAGAATGAAGAAGGTCCTGCTATTCCAAAAAAAAAAAAGCTATTAAGGGGGAAACAAAGAATGAAATGCAAACCCATTTTTGGAAGAAGAAAAAACTTTGCTTATGGCACCAATGGCAAAAATTGATGCTATAAGGAAAGTGTTTCTTTTAACACTTTTATCCCCTTTACTCTGACCCATACATTCCATTTTGAACTACCTGTGTTTTTTTTCCCCACACGATAAAATTCAACAATCAGAGAACAGAGAGACAAAAGCATGCATAAACTAAAAGACCTCATCAGCCATGGGAAGCCAATAACACTTGAAGACCTTAAATTTAAATTAGAAGGAAGAAAAGCTAATTGGTTCCAAACAAGCCAAGGCGCAGATTTTATTAGAAAAATAATTAACACTCGTGGACCACTTAGATCAATAACATAATTTAGGGAATGGGGAGACAAAGGTGTATATAGACTAAAAGACCTCATCACCCATGGGAAGCCAATACCACTTGAGGACCTTAAATTTAAATTAGAAGGAAGAAAAGCTAATTGGTTCCAAATAAGAGAAGATGCTGACTTTATTAGAAAAATAATTAACACCCATGGACCACTTAGAGCAATAACATAATTTAAAGTAACATGCAATAACAAATACAACATGAGGACGGACACAGTTTTGGATGGTGACTGCAAAATTTGGGAATATGGGTGGGGGGAAAATTCCTTGAAAAACAAATCTAGGAAAAATTTACTCTGAGGTGCAAAGGAACAAAGTATGCTCATCCCTTCTGACCAGCCTCTAACCTAATTAAATCTTCTCACATACTTTTTTTTAAAAGTAGGATGCTAAACTGGTTGTTTTTAGCTATCAGTGAGTTCCAACACAATTTTTCAGTTGTTCTTTGTCTTGATGTTAATGTATATCAAACATTCTTAATCAGAACAATTAAATTTCTGATTTTTTTTGTTAATATTTTGATAACCCTGAAAACAGCAAAAAACCTGTTTCATCCACCCCACCTAGCATTACTAGTTCATTATATATATAAATAAATAAACATTATACCTCTTTGTATGGCTTGTTTATTTGAACCTCTCCTGAGAAGAGAAAGTTCCTTACTGAGTATAATT